GTGACCAGAAAACGAGTGGTTTCACTTTATACATTACTGTCGGGGTTGTTTGAGCAGCGTTCAGAATTCACATTAAGAGGACTCATGTCCACAATAGCTTTCTGCTGAGCAAGTGGGAAGGTATGAGTAGGGTTGGCACACCCACACGAATGAATACCTAGGCGTTTACCGGATGAACGAGGGAATTTTGTAATAAGTTAGGAGTTGAGTTGACTTTTACTACGGTATAGTTGGAAAAAAAAGCCGGACAAATCGTGTTCCAAGTGCTTTTAGTCGAGCAGGTAGGCAGTCCTATCATCGTTTAATACCCCGCCTATTTCTTAAGTCCTTCCCATACCATGTTGCCAGAGCTATATGGTGGTGATTTGTATACAATTACTTTTCCCATTTTACTCTAGAAAACTTTTTGAAATGAATGTGTGGGCGGAGCTACCTGTGCTGTTGCGATCTTTCTATTGGCGGAACTCTTCTTTGAATTTGATAGTTGTCTCAGAAGAGTCATGACACCATTTGCCAGCCCACAAACCAGTTATTGATCGAGTTTCTGAGAGTACGGATAACAAGCATGACTGGTTATGCTTTTGTAGATGCCGAAGAAAAGCTCGAAAGTCCTTAGGAATGAAAGGATCTTTATCATTGGTGTTGAAGATGCGAGAGTTCAACCAAGAACAGTCTGTATAGAAACGGCTGGAGGACCTTGGACATCTACGGATCATCTCTGAAGAAGCCTAGGTAGGCGATTCATCGAGTTTGGTTCGTTTTTGAAGTTTTTCTCGGCCGATTCGAAAATTTTCAAGCTGGACAGTGGCTACTGTAAAAAAAAACTGACCAGATGAAGCTAATGAGTGACGTGCCCTGTCCATGTTTCACGTCGGGGGTGGGGTCTTCATATGGTGACATTCGAATGATTAATTTATGACTGGGAAATGAGAATTGACAAGCGTTTAAATGAAAAACTGTTGTATAGGGCAGAAAATGTGTTAGGATTGGTGATGGCAAAACAAAGGGGTCATGAACCGACGTTTAGTTGGCCCTCATCCAGGTGATGAAGAATTTCTCTTCTTTCTGTTCCATTTCGTATCATTTGGAAGTTCTCAACGTGCTTTCCTTTTTGAACATTTTTCCGTGTAGGGTTCAACACTTTGTGACTCGTTGTCAGGTTTTTTTTTTCATTATGTAGGCTGTATTTTACAAATTTATACCTTTATCAGCTCTCTTATCAGCTGAAAACACAAATGCGCTCATAGTATCAATGCAGATTGCTTTCAGTGGGCAACCAATCTGCCCTCAAATTTAGTTGAAATTTGATTCGTGGCGCATACCACAGTGTAGATTTGCACAGAGAGCTTCGCACCGAGAGTTTTAGCGATGATGTTAGGTAGGAAACAAGCTTGATATGTGCAACAGTATGTGTGTTACTAGTCCCAATAGTTCGCACTGTGTCGTGCAAAAAGATATTTATCGATTGACAGAAAGGGGGTGTCGCGCTGCGACCGTACGCGTCTTGGCATGCTCGCTGCTGTTTTCTCTGTTGTGGGGTGTGCTCCTAACTTATGGTTTTTTTCATTGCATTGCTAAATTGAGTACGACGTGTAAGTGAAAGAAATTTAGTTCATGTAGAATTTTATTATTAATATCGATAACCTAAAACACAGTGAATCATATGGACTATGTATAAAAACCATAGGGTTTGGAACAAATGTCAAAGAATACAACAATTCGACTTCATTTTCGAATGAAGTGATGATGATGAATAAAATTGAAGAAGTCGAAAAAAAGGGGGATGGGGGAAGATTGTGGAAGAGGAACTCTGTGTGTTTTTTCTGTTTAAAAATGTAAAGCAGTTCCAACGTTTTACGTTTGTAAATCAAACAACATCAAACTTCGTTGCAGGAAACGCTCATCATTAAACTCAATAATGAAAAATCAAAAAAACAAAAAAAAAAACTGAGAAAAAAAAACACATAACTCATTCATACAAAACAGATATAGGTTTGGAACAAGTGCTGTATGAGTGTGTATGCATTTGGGTCGTAGACCTGACAACTCTATACGGTATCGCACTCAAACAATCAAACTAGACTTGAAACAATGAACTCGGATTTCGAAGGAGGACGGGGAGATGTATGAGAGAGAGACGGAGAGAGCGCATGTCTCTATAGACGGGGATCTGTCTATGTATGTAACTGTATTAGTAAGAATGGATCGGATCTCCCTTACCCGCTGCGGAAACAGTTAGCGCGGATGCACTCGATGACATATAAAATGAAGAAACGGTAAAACAGTCTAAGAATGACACTGTACGTAATGAAAAATGAATAGGAAAAATATATGTGAGAAAGAGAAGAAAGTAGGGAAAGAAATAATAATAAAAAACACAAATATGGAAATAAAAAATAAAAATAATTCAAAATTAGAACTTAGCAAGCCGTCACAGACAGCAAAGCCACGGACGTAGGCCAAGCCCCACGGCGCCCGACTAGAAAACCCGTGCGAGACGAGCACCGACCGAACGAGATCATCCATCAAAGCGTGAAACGAGGCTCCGCGGCAAGAGAGAGAAGTGTGTGGAGTAGTAAAGTGGTTGAGGAGGGTGGTTTCAGACAAGGTTCGCGGTGGTGTTGGTGTTGATGGTGGATGTGATGATGATGTAAAATTTAGGAGCGCGTCAGCAATTTTTCCTATAGATTTGAAGAAGGATAAGTATAAGCTGATAGCGGTTTTATACATTGGCTACACCAAGCGAAAAATCACCGTTGAGGATCACAGTGGACGGCGGAACGACGGGGTATGGTGGTGGTTGTGGTGGTGGTTGTGGTGGTGGTGGTGGTGACGATGGTGTTGGTGGTTGGTGGCTGAGTTTGGTGGTGGCTGATTGGCTGATGATGGCTGTATGACCATAGTGCAACCGGCGGCACCGACCGAACACACAATTCCGGTCTAGTAACGAGGTGGTAATGGCCCGCTGACTGAAATAAAAAATCAGAAAATTTAATCTTGAAACAACTTCAAAAACAGCAATAAAGAGCACTGTGAAGCGTTCGGTTATTGGTGCAGATTAAACACAATCAGCATTAATAGCCGAATATAGTTTTCGTAAACCTGACCACGGCTTGAGCGCGTGCGGCTGCGGCGAAGCGCGGCAGGCGGATCAATACGCACTCGAACTGTTCGCACTAGCCGTTCGGGCACGCGTCGCGTAATTGCACCCACATCTTTCATTATTTTTCCCTTACTCAAGAGTATAAGCAGAAAGTTCAATTTGTTTGCCCTGTATATGTACACTGTTAGGGCGGGGATCGTATTGGGGCATAAGTCGTTACTGACTTACGTGCATGCCATGCCCGAGTCATCGGAACGTGGAATATCTTTGGCTATAGTCAATGTATTGGAGTTATCTAGTTGCGAAAACAAACACCTCTGCCATAATAGCTGCCCATAAGCACCGCATAATTACAGTTTTTAAGTAAGTACAGTACGGTAGTGGGTTACTGTAATCGCAGCTCTTGTAATTTATACCATTGGCATGCCCCGATTCTTGATCAATACCGAGGACTTCATGATTTGTTTTTGTAACGATTCTGGAAAAGAGTAGTGGGTTCGCCCATGACGAATGGCTCAGGAAGAGGCTTAGGCGAAGCCAAGGCAACGGAGCGCAGGGGAAAGCTCTCATGCAGATTTATATAACTAACTTTGTGTTGGTTTCGTGGCCGTAAGAGGGCATATTCATGTGTTTTAATTTTTTTTTTTTTGATTTTTGAGCTGCCATTCAAAACTGTTCATAATTGACTTGGTGGCAAAAAAAGATTGCAAAAAAAAAAGAATCAAATGATATCGATTTTCAGAAATGAATAAATAATATCATGTTAAAATTGGTTCGGACTAAAATCAGATATGACATGTGATGCTTTGAAGACCTATACGATCTCTGAAGAAGAGTTGAGAAACGAAGAAAAATCAAAATACATCGTTTACCTCGGTTGGAATGCGCCGCGCACTCAATTTCCGCCCAGATTAATGGCACTTCATCGTGCTTGTTTTTAGCGGTAAACAGCTGTATGTTGAAGGCAGTGGTTTAATCTTTTCAGATAAGTTTGGTCCCACATGGGGAAAATAAAATGTTTTGATGGCCCGGGCAGATTTTGGTCTAGCAATGCCACTTCCCTTGTGGCAACCCCGTGTCCAAGGTGTGGTAAAACCACACCCTCGAAAGTCAGCCCTACCTCCAGATTCCGAAGTCATGACTTCTTGTAAATTTGTAGCAGAATGAGAGCAGTCAAAAAATTCAGTCTTTAGTTTTAATCTATCATTTATTGCAGCCGATGGGGTGAGCCTTCATGGAAATAGATCATTTTTCAAATTTTATCTTCAATAGAGATCCAAAAATCGTGGCCCCTTGATTTTTTTTTTGAACATTTGCATACTTGTGCACTTAAGACTTTACATTTTGATATGGAATATTCATATATTGATCAAAAAATTGTGGTGAATGGGTCCCTGATAGAAAGCGCAGTCGAACTACACACCTTACGACACGAGATCCCAGAATGTGACGCGTCTGGGGTTTTTTGGAGCTATCTCTTTCAATTTAATTTGACCGCTTCGCTCGCTCGCTGCGAAATTTACGAGCCCTTTATGGAAATGGCTTCATTGTTAGCCAATGATGATTTTTGGATTGAGCACGGGAGATGGCAGGGAATTATTAGAAGAATCACTTTGTAATTACAGGTAGAGCTTTACAGCATGTGCTAATCTAGCCTTTGCCTATTTAATCGTTTTGAAGCACATAGCGTAGGCTATAGTGAGTGTGGAAGCGGCGTTGCGTTGCGAGATGCGGCGCGGTTCTACCGCGCTGCCTCATGGTGCAGCAGCAGCAGCAGCAGCTTCGCGAATTTGCACTGCGATCTTCCCCTTTCAAACTACTTAGCACAGTTAGCGTAAAGCATATGCTAAGACGTGCACAACAATGAACAATGAGTAACTCAAATCTGTTTTTTGTTTTAAGCAGCACACTTACATGACACGGCGGGTACATAGCCCTGAAGACCCGGTAGAACATAGGGATTGAATTGCTGAGCTGGTTGTGGATTTGCACTGTACACAACAGCTCCGTTCTTGTCGACGGCAGGACGTTTGCAAGGGACACCGGCCTAAACGCAGACCACCTTAGAGAGTCATGACCATTAACAAGTGCACACTTGGAGCTCATGCCACAACACGCCACTGCGTTAGGGTACAACTAAACCAAATAGAAAGCACGCCACGTTTGAAAATCTAATATAATGGCTTCTGAGTTTTCGAAAAAAAAATCTGTCCAAAAGTCACTGCTGGAAAATAAAATCAAATAAAAATTAAAATAAAAAACTAATAAGACGTAGCGGCTAAAAAGAAGGAAAGAATACCGCAGCGGAAACGGCAGCAGCCAGATTGAGGAAGTGCGCCTGCTGCTGATCGGCGGCTAGCGATTCTTCATCCAGTGGCCTCTTGCGGCTGGCAGCGGCAGCGGAAACGGCAGCCAGCGGTAGCTGGAGAGCGGCAGCCGACGGAGCAGCAGCCAGTGCGACACCGGCGGCGGCAGCAGCTTGCGCTAGCTGCGCTGGAGACGCAAGCAGACCGCCGCCACCTCCGTGCAGCAGCGCAGCCGCCTGCAGTTGCTGAACAGAGCTGTCAGCCATAAAGCCATGCACACACTTGCTGCTGAGACACGCGTACAGTTAGGAACCAATAGTGACAAATGGCGAAAGGGGGGCGTTAGCCGGTGAAAACACCACCAAGACGCGAGTGTGATAATCAAGTACGAGCTGTTAACATAGTCGAAACTACACGGCAGAATCGTGCAAACGCAATCGCGACGCGACGGATGGAACCACAATTGGAACGTCGCGGCGCGATTGCGTCGCGCGTCGCGGGACAAAAACAGGAAGCGCAACGATTACTAGGGCGATACCTGCGACACAGCAGCCTGATATGGATCCTGTAGAACTGGAGAATACACCAAACCCTGATAGTAGGGATATGGTAGTGTGGGCATCATATTCGCGGCCGCCACCGCCTGTTGTTGCTGCTGAAACAACGAGTAAACGACGTTAAAAGGAGGTGTGCTGCTCTACGTGAAGGAAGAACATGAAATACAACGAGAAGAAGGATTACTCAAGGATAGCATAGCGTGTAAAACAGAGGAACAAGCGAAATTTTGGGAGGCTTCGACGGAATCGGAAATCGGAAATCAAAAGTTATGATTCTACTGGTCCTGGGCATGCATGAGTATGGCGACATTTCTATGGCAAGGTTGAAGAAAATCAAAAAATGTTAAGGTAAATTGTAGGAAAAGATGGATATCCGATGGAGGCAGAAAAGGGGACAGCAGCCACCATTCTGACTTACCATAATTTGCGCAATTGGATTAACTGCAATGGGTTGTCCGGTGGCTGTCTGGTTTAACTGTGCTGATATCAGGTTCTTCAATGCCAAATTGTTTCTTCCATTGATGAGCAACTGATCCTTGATGTGTTGTGGTGGATGTAAATATTTGCACTTTGGATTCTCCCTTGTACATCGACCCTGAAAAGAACCGGAATCATCACCAACCGGGGACGAGTGTGTGATCCTTCGTTGAATACCGATTAGCGAGGCTAAATTTTGGCAAAAATCACTTTTTGACACTTTTTTCTCACCCAGTTCTGACTTGTTCTATGTTTTGGTGTTAGGGTTTTAACGAACAAATCAATCAAACAAGAAACGGAAAAGGGCAAGATTGAAGAAAGGCTCGTTCTAGCCCTCCGAAAAAACGGGCTACCCCACTGTTTGAGGCGTTCGGTCGTTCGAATAATCGGGTGAACAATCTCTAAACTGTAGTGTACTTTGTGTTTATCATCGTCACGGCGCAATATGCCAGATGCTTCAAGTTTCGACCGTTTTTTGGACCACCCGGTGGTTGACTTTGCACGGAAATCTGTTGACGTTTTTTAGTGCACAATCCTTTGCACAATAGATAAACAACAATATAAATCAGTTAAAGTGTAAAGTATGGGGACGGTCCTTCCATGATCCGTTGAATACAAGTTTATCCTTCAATTACTACTTTTATAACCCCTGAAACTGCCCAGAAATTATCGTAGAAAACCAAGGATCATATTTATGTCTGCGTTAGTTGACTAGTAAATAGTTAGGTAGGCATAAACAGGTAATTAATCAAAGTAAAGTGATAGCCTTGAGGGCAACCTTGCACGTAACTCATGAATAGTCTATGAGTTTTATGTGGACCCAAGTTTCTTCGTCAGCCAGCCGTATCATCGTGCCGAACCCCGTTGAGATACGAATCAGCAGAGGGTGTGACAATGCTAATCGTTGGAATGATGGATCACTATTGGGTTGTTGGCTATATCTTTTCATCGATGCATCGCTGTGTCTTCCTTCCCCTTCCTTTCTTCCTTCAAAATGTCTGTTTGGGGCTGGTGATGGGGCCGTCCAACCCGTCTTCACATCGAACCGCTCTTCCCATCCCGTTTCACAACTTGCACATGACAGCCACACGTGGGGTGGGGGCAATGCTTTGTTGAAACCGGTGTGTAACACCTTGGTCGAAAAGGTGGGAACAACAGGGAAAAGTCGTAATCGCCCGCGCCAGTGCGCTGTCGTGGATTTCTTTGGGAATTGCTGCTGTGCAGGAAGATGAGCTTGGCAGCTGGGCTTGATGCTATAAAGGAACAATGAGATCAAAGCAAGAGTCTGCCACGGACTGTGACTGCCATTCCGCTTGTCTATCATCCAAATTGGCGTATGACAGTTCATCAATATGATGAAGAACTTCCCCAATGCTGCCAAAGCACCTGAACTACAACATGGTATCTTGGAAAAATCTGGACAGAACGGGTCCCCGAACTTTTCAAAAGTTCAGTCCATCGCTAGCCGCGAGCCGTGAGATGACCAACAGCGATGCATTAGCGAATAACCTTGATGGAGCGAAAAATTAGGTTGACCTTTATGTGATTATCTATGCGGTTGTCCTTCGAAATCTCAATCAGAAATCGAAAGTTTACAAAAGTTACCAGATGGTAAACCAAAGTAAACTAAACTAAACCCGGGCCTTCTATAACCTTTGGCTTTGGGATCGAACAGGGCAGGAGGAATAGCCAGCATGGGTGAAGTCAGTGAAACATCAGGAACAGTTTCAAAGTTCTTGTCGACGAATTAGACTTCATCTTGGTCAGCCCCATTACCTTCTTCTACCAGCGTCTTCCATGAAATCTCCGAAAGTTGCATGTTCAGTGCTTCAACTTCCCACGTACCACTTTTCTTGGGACCATATGTCTTCCTCATGTTCAGGAATTTTCACCACTTGACCACCGATAACGGAACCGTAACAGAATGTAGTTAGGGATCCCTGCACCTCGTCCCAGTTCCAGGAACGCTTCAGAAAGTTTCGGAACATCTGTTCCGGGTGGGTTACGGTAACTGCGTCAAAAGCACAACAGTAATAGTCCAGCTGAGTCGGCACGGTCAATAATCCCAGCCAATCGGTTGCCACTGTTCCCCCTTGATCTGGTTGAACTGGTTTCTGATGAACGACGTTTCGTTGAGTCTAGCTCCCACTCTATGTGTCCCTGTCTAATCCTTTCCCTTGACTCGTATAACGACGACCATCTCCCCCCTAAAGTGACCATGGGCCACTCCCCAAACGGAACCGGTTACCCATCGCGTACGGCGTCCGTCAAATGCAACCATTTCAATTGGAATCGATAGCCGTTGTTGGGGAATCGATCACTTCCCGACACGAATCATGCTCTAATTTCTACGCCATCAACGCTTTCCATCATACGCGGCTATTTACTTCATCACCGAGTCGGACAATTTTCACGCTTTCTAGTGACACTTGTTTTTGATGTGATGATGGCCGCCACCGACGATCCGATTCACTACTGAGACCGACGAAGTCAGAAAAAAAATCATCGGAAAGCGAAATGAAGTCGAACGTTCGGAGTAATTAAGATAGATTCCAGAGACTCTACTCATTACCAATACAGTAGGTGGCCAGCCAGCTAGCGTCTTGGTAAAAATTCTCAGAAAAGAATTAGGACCCTCATGCCATCAAAGTGATTCTGAGTGACGCCAGAAGAAGAGCTTTTGGGGTTTGGGAGGAGGACAGACAACGATGAGTCTTTTCTCTCTGGCCGTGTTGTCTCCATTTGCAACTCCCGGGGGATCACTGCAGCCAGATGGCTTCCTCGTCCTCTCTATCGATAAACCCCAGCCCGTTTCAGTCCAGTCATCCTCAACATCATTAACATTATCAAATAATTCCCAAGTGATTCTGTACATGAACAGACGGGGGTTTGGGAGAATCTGGAGGAGTTCAACGGAACGTCACGTTGCCCGCAGGATTACCGTAACCTAAGAGAAATAAATGGCATACACTGGAGAACAGAATGTGATGAGTTAGCAGTAATGGACAGAGTTTGTTCGCAATTGTCTGCTGCTGCTGCTGCTGCTCTCCCCACCAGTTAGTCGGTCGTCGGGCCGGGCCTCCTCACTCACCCCATGGTTGGTAGTTCCATCGGCGCTCTTTGTGAAAATGAGCCGAGGGGGGGCCCGCTTGGCATTTCGATTCTAAAACGAAGGGCGCTAGGCCAGCTGGCAACAGCCATCAATACGACATTAAACAATGCAAAGAATAAAGGATCGCATGCTAGGCGGCAATATCTCTTAGCCGTCCCTCTCTGTCTCTCCTCACAGCCACCATATCACTCCTTCTACTTCTCATCATCGTTTCCTCTCGGTCCCTCAACTATACTACACAGTAGCCGGCCGCTTGTCATCGGCCGGAAAGTCGCTTTCGTTCTGCGCACATGCGATTCTTCCCCATAAGAAAAACGGGCGTTGCTGTGTGTCGGATTTACATAAATGACACACACACCACCACCATCACCACATGGCATCAACGATCTTGGTTGGGGAGCAATCGAGGGGGATGGCCACCGTGAAAAAAACGTCGATGGAAGGAAGGGGTTACTCGATTAAATTAAGCATGCAACTGAGTAGATTGCCGGGAATAGCGTCACAATCCCCCTCGGGTGAATTTTCGTCGTTCGAGCCCTTTCAATTTGACTGTTTTAGTGGATTTGTGTTGGTGTCTGAAAATGAAATGAATCGATTCGTTTCTGGTAATTGAGATTCAGAAACAGAGGGGGAACATGGCAGCGGGGCAATGTGGCGGATCTGGACACGCTGTCGACGTCGGACACCACTGATTTTGGAATATTTTGGCGTAGAAAAATGCAGAAAAACGGTAAAACAAGTAAAATACAGTAAATTAAAGGTTATATAGGGTACCTTTATGCTATCGTAACATGCTGTGACACGTCCTTGTTGTACGTCCACATGTGGAGGCGGATGAGCGAATTTGCACTCCAAATCGCTTCTGGCGCATTGTCCACGTTGAAATTCACGACAGACTTCAACCTAAAACAGTAAATCATCAACGACATGTCTGGTTGGATTCGAAGACGACGTTCAGCAACGACGTCATCTGGTTGTTGGATGACATCAGATGCGGGTGTCTGTATTCTCAGAAGACCTCTGTTCCCCTCATCCCCAAAGGCATACGTGATATTGAGAAGGATACACAGAGAGAGAGGGATAGTAGTGTCGGAGAGAAATTTTTCAACCCTTGGTCGTACCGCGATCACCACCAAAGTGGAACAGCAGCAGATAATGCGAGACACATACCTCAACGGATAAGATTCACAGAATTTTGATATCAGCGAATCGAAAGTTGCCCACATTCACATACATACACCTACATGCACGCACGCACGCAACACGTACGCGTGTATTCTAGCTAATGGAGCCAAATCGTAGCGAAATTCACTTGAAAAGCCTTGCAAATCGGAAATTCATTCAATCTGTTTCGCAAACAGTATACGTACATGTATGTGTTGAAGCGACAGAGCAAGCAATGGCGCGAGCTGGATTTTGGCGTTGTGACGCATTCGGAATGACCCTTGGGGGGGGGGGGGGGGTTCCTTATAGGGTTCGGGTAACAAAAGTTACGGTTCATGGGGAAGATGAAATTCCCAGGGAAGCGTGGGTGTTTTGTGGTGCTTTTTTTCTCGATTAATCTTTATGGACGATGTTTTAAACTGTGAAAGAGAGGTTGAATACTTTCACAGCTGCACGTGCATATCCAGGCAGCCCATATCACATCATCAACTGGCAGCAGATATGCGTGGCCGCGTAACGGACATATGCCCGTGATGCTATAAACACAACGAATAAACATGTTACTGGGACAGAGAGAGCGAGGGTCTGGAACGCCGTTAGACGAACGAACGCGAAATACGTGATTGAGGCTGCCCGCAATTCCTTGAAATGCCAAATGGTCCCGGGATTCGACCCACGAAATTTCACCCCCCAGTCTGCAAAAACCATGGACATTCGGGGATTCATATCACCTTTTTCTTATAGGGAGCACCATGAAAGGAATTCTTCAGCTTTTTTCCTGGATACACTTTCACTATGGTAAACGCGTTCCGACCAATTATTCCGGTACTTGACACGGATCGCTGGCCTCTTGAAGACATCATCATCCCAGAGACAGCTGAGAAGTGCGCGTGTTTGCTTGTTCAGTCAGTCAGTCAGTGGTCCTAAACGCCACCACCACGCCATAGCGGGAGTGGGGGGAATTATTGGGGACAACAGAATCATAGCAGCAATCTGGGGTCAGGAAATTCCCCATGAAAAGCCCCGGGACAGGTCATTTTCACTTTTGGTGGGTGCTTTTGGTTTGCTAGTGAGCGGGGGTTTTGCTTAGCGTTAAAAATATCGGTGTGATATTAAAGCACAGGAATTCACATTCAAACAGAGAAAGCAACCTGCCTTATTGTTCCCGAACATCAACAGAAAGACAAATAAATGTGCATATATATATGTCTATGTGTGTATACTGTATATACGTGATTCTGTTTTTACACAAAAAAGCATTTAAATGGTTGAAATGGATTCTATCTATGTGAGTGCATGTGTATGCGTGTGTATATGTGTGTATGTGTGTGTATGTAGGTGACATGAGTACACAGCGTTCTTTGTTCTACCTGAAGCCAACGGCTATCCTTGACGTTGAGCAATTGTGTGACGATAGCCGAATTTGGAGCTGAGACATTTCCGGGAATGCTACCGGCGGGAGCTAGAGCACCCGACTGCGCCACCACAGCTCCAGCGCCGGCGGTATTACTGTTCTCGTCGAACATGAAGCCTCTGCAATTGCGCAAAAGCGAGAATCGTTAGCAGCAACAGAAAGCTTTTGAGTTTGAGGTTATGAGATTATGTGGTATCTCGTAATCGTATCAATACTATAGAAGAAGAAGAAGAAGAAGAACATCATCAGAAAGAAAAAAAAATCGAAAAAGGGAATCGAAATTGTATGTAGTAGCAGGTAGGTAGTGTTGGTGGTAATGAAAATATTTAAGGTGAATGGGCTACGACATATGAAAGTGAACGGTTGGGCAGCAGAAATTGGAAGGAAACAAACGAAAGCGCAATCCATAGCCAATGCCACACAACCGGGTTAGTGCATATGATGTAAGTACTGGCATATGGGAGTAGACCTATTCCGGTTAGAATCAGTCAGTCAGTGGTGGCAGTGTGATGTTGGGAGTTGGATCGTAAAGGTGTATGTGTGTGTGTGCATGTGTGGGGGAGGAGACCGCAGTGGTAACGCATTTCATGAGACGTGACGTCAAGACGAATCTGAAAACGCGACGGCGACGGCGTCAAACGACGGAGTGGCCTGGCCGGCCGGCTGTGTGTGCCCGACCGACCAACTCCTACCGACGGCGACGCCGCCAACGACGACGATCACGACGACCACGACGACGACGACGACGATGGCGATGGCGATGAGCGCTAGGGGAAACCGGTTGCAACCAGCGACAGCGAAAACACATGCGCGATACATAGATAGCGTAGCAAGGTGAAGATTGAGAGAAAAAAGAATCGCCAATTGCACGCTTCACTACCGAAACTGTATGACACATGAGGACGATGACAGTAATGGTTGAAATGACAGGATTCACAATTTAAAAGTGGCTGGCATTCAACTGGTCGTCATCGTCGACTAGCAGCAGTCATCACCATTGCAGGCATCGTCTTCGTGAATCGTCGTCATTGATACGACTGCGGCGGCGTGCATGACTAGAGCTCAAAGTTTGCGATGATGATGATACGCGAAAGGCGCCAGCACACACACACACACATACACTCATACACTCATACACACACATACAAATAAAAACGCTATTCTGATGGTGAATAAGGCAGAGGGGGGAATCGCGGCGCGGCCGACGTCTATTGCGCAGTGGCTGGCGGCGTTAACGATGTCGTAGGAGGCGGAGGTGACGACGGTACACCGTCAGCGGCGACTAGTTTGCATAGTCACACACACACAGACAGACACATGCACATCGACGAACCATGTAAGCGCCGCCGAACATTTGAACGACCACCCGAACGATACAATTCAAAGGGCAGCCACCATAGATAGCAGCAGTAACATATAGTTGTTACAGGTTGTGAATTACTTACTGAACAAGTATATGGCTGTGTGGGGGAGGATTGACATGCGTTTACATGACATTGAAGATGTTGAAGAGCGAGGGGCACGGGACCATACACGCGAGGAAGCCGTGGTCACTCGACCCCTGAGGCAGCTTGCATGCACTTCGGCCACGCCCACCTACAGTAGGACAATGACAAGTAGGTATTGATCGGGGCCAAGAAAGCGGGTGGACTACCAGCGCGCCTATTACACCAATCGCGAAAATAAATCAAGCTCCGTTATGCAACGAATAAATGGTTAAAGCGCCTTATCGGTATATCTGGCAACATTGATGAGGTATATGAGTAGTATTAAAGCGGATAAAAGTACAAATACAACATAAACAGAGGAAATTGAGATGTGGGAGAACAGCTGAGAGGGGTTTGTGGGGGGAGATGATGTGGATGGACGAGGGTGGCGGCGATCGGTCGGTCGCCCGGTCGTTGATGGAGCGGAGGCGACAAACCTCACACTTCACGAGTACCTACTTCACCACAACGATCAAACAATCGCACAGACACACACATACGTACACACTGATCGCCCATACTACTATGTGGGGTGTGAGTGCGCAATGGGTGCGAACGTTCTTGGGATCGTTGCAACCCGCCAGTCAGTAAAATGCCGTCGTCGAAACGACGACGACGACGATGACTGTCGTCTGCCATAGCCGGCGGCGGCGGCTTCGTCTGCGTTAGCTGGCCTACATCATTCACCATCGCACCACCAACACCACCACCACCACCGCCATTGCCGCTGCCGCCGCCGTCGTCGTCATTGTCGTTGTCATCAGTGGGCGCTTCGACCACCCACTCTAGAAAGACTGTCGAAATGTCATACTTGTAAGAGGCACATCATAAACGAAAGAGCGCCAATGAGCAACCGAAAGATGTACAGTCATTGTAACACAATGCTTAGTTGTATGAGTGGTATGGAACGTGGACGATGTGCTGGTGCAACTTCCAGCTGTACATACAGCCTAGATGAACTGAACGGAAAGTTCTTCTTCAAACTACGAGAGTTCAGGCCAGGAGTTCTAATGGGTGGTCTAGGTTCTGACATATGAATGATTATATCAAGATAATGCTGAAGTTAATCACACCTACGCAGTGATACGGGGTTATATGAAGAACTAAAGCTTTGTGTGGAAGAGGAAAAAACACCACCAACCAAAACACCCAGACGCACGTTTAAGTGAGGAGGAGTGATAGATTGGCGCCGCGCCGTGCATCGCCTCGCTTTTCAACCGCCTACTGCACAAAATTCCGTCAGCAGTGAGAAGTGAGCTGTGTGGAAGGAAAAAAACGAAACAGAAGAAGAGACTAAGAATGAATTGGAAACGGTTTGATTAACTATTAAAGAGGTTATGGTTGGAAATGGACTGAATGATTCAGAAGGACTGAAACCTAAGGAGTGTACTGGTCGGAGATGGCGGCTATTCGCGAGAAGCGGCTGTTGCGAGTCGGAAACATACGAGTCGCACTCATCCGTCGTTTGCATTGTGACAAGTACGACAATCATTACGCTTGCTTGACCACAATCAGCTGATGCAGACGTGGGGGCCGAGTTGCTCTGCTTGGACGCGCGTCTGGTCAGCCAGCGTGCAACCCGAGCAGTCAGACTTGCAGCTCAAGCGCGTCCGTAAACGACCTGTGTTGCTTCAGAATGGCCACGACACACACACATACAATGACAATTTTAACATTCATGGAAATTAGTGGAGACACATCTGCTCTCCATTGCTGCGCATGCACATACTGACATATAAAGACGACGACGACGACAGCATATACACGCCATCTACACACACTCACACTATGGCATGTAATATGGATAGAAGAAAAGACATCAGAATATAATGCTCATTCATCCACTCACTTACTCGCTTACTCTTTTGATTACCAGTAAAAAAACTGACTTACAATAGAAGTACAAGCCAATATGTAAGTAAGCGCATATGGTGGTAACATACGAGGGAACGCGGATAGTTCGTCGCAGCAGCAGCAGCCGGCGGTGCCGCCAAGCCGCTGGCCGTAACGTCGTTGCGCGCGATTGCGATCGTTCACGCGTGCAACTGCACGCGACAACTTGATGCACAGGTCTGGAGGGGATGGTCGAACAGCGATTGCGGGCATCGATCGTTCGTTCGTTCGTCGTCATCGTCGGAACACACAGATGATCGACGCGAACGGCGGCGGCGCCGCACGGGATGATCGCGTCCGTCCGCGGCCGTGGGGGTACCACAAAAAGGTCGTCGTCCGCGCGGCGATCGCGACGATCGCTGACGGCAGCGGTGCCATAGCGGCGGCGGCGGCGGTGGCATCAGAATTGAAACCATTTACGTACGCGTTATATTAAAAGTGCTTTGTGCGTGCAACGTGCACCACACCATTTGGAAAGGCGCTGCAATAGGGGAAGGACAGACAGATCGTCGCATGGACGAATATCATGTGGTGGGAGATCTGGGGTGATGGACATTGGGAAGTCCACGTTCTAACTATGTAATCCTGTGATTCATCTGTTTGAACAGCAATCAATACCTATACCGAACACTATCACAGACTCCTAACTCTGCAGAACTATCCCGTTCCATTGTGGGTAGGAACGCCTGAGAAAACAGGCATGGACCATCCTTACTGGGACGTTACTCGAGACTTGAGTGACAAAGTAACCAGAAGGAACGAAGAGGAAGTTAACTGTGTGGAAACCGTGACGTTACGATAGAAAAAGGCAAGCACACGAGAGATAAGAAAGGTATTCGAGAGCTTTTTTGAAATAAACTAGTGTAATAGAGTTTTGAAACATACTAGTAAGGGGTAGATGAGTAATATGTGTTCAGAGCGATAACGGTATTTTCTAACGAGTTTTCCAGGAAAAAGTAATGACGAAATATGTAAAGAGTAGAGAAATCATAACCAGAAATTGTTGAACGCTTCAAAGTAGTGCCAGTGTAAGGGGGGAAACAGTTCCGAAACGAGATATTAAAAACGGCGAATGATTGATTTCAGCTGGGGAGCACAGAAAATTGATGGAATTCCTTGAGAAGTTACAACAGGCTAGGGAGATGGCTTTAGTCGTCGGTTTCTGGGAGCATCCCCATTCACTTTAACACTTCAACAGTACAGGGCTGGCTGTTAAATGAGGTAAATGTGGCGTCAGAAGTTAGCGCGTCGTCGTAGATTTCGAAACCCGGTTCTGTTCATGCCAACAAGAGGGAACCTTGGAAAAACACGGGTTCTAATCACAACGTGAGGCTAAAATTGGTGACTTGTACGTGGTTGCTAATCTTACTGTATATATTTAATTATTTTACAAATTAAATGATTCAGTGGAGCATCTAGATCCAGTCGGTTTCATTGAACACTTGTCTGATGATGAGTAGTCTGTCTGCAAGCATGCAGCTGCTAGCAGAGTCCATCAAAACTACAAAAAACTACTCCCAAATTTCTTGTCATGAATAAATGGATAGAGGGTCGAACATCGTTGGTGAACAGAAACACCCTGGAACGAATGGATGGTCCAGAATTGGGATGGGATGATTGGTGACAGCCGTCATAGCCGCCGCCGTCGTCGTCGTCGCCACCATTGCCGCCACAACCGGCTGCCACCACTGTCGGCACCACCACCGCCACCAGCACCGGTCAGTGATATTGAACAAAGGTTCGTTGAACGTTTCCGATAGGAGGTCCATGTTCAACACTGCACGTGTACAACAGGGTGACAACGATGAGTGAAGGGGGGGGGGGGGTTTCGTTGGTGTTGGCTCGGATTAGACCGGGCGCAATCAATCGTATGCAAAACTGTGCGCGACCTTCGACGGCGGCGACCACACACACACACAGAGAGATACACGCATGCCGAACACATAAGAGCAAAACCCCTAGTGGCTAAAGTCTACACAGAAAAGGCGTTACCAGTTTCGGACGTGTTTTTAGTGTCGAACGAATTTCGCACAGTAAAACATGAAAATGTGTCGTGATGAAATTTGAATGTCATAGAACTGGATTGAATGTATCACTCACTACTACAACGTATCGCTATGAACTTGTAGGGGTTTATCGAGGCCTGGTATCGATGGTAATATTGTGGTGCAGGAACAATCTGGTTGGCATCGATAAATTTAGTGTTTGCAAGAGTGAAACGCGCACACAGCTTTAGAGTACAATGCAAAAACTGAATAAATTACAGCGGAAATGCGCTGCCAGTGCCGTTGGCTTTGAGTGTAAACCTTGAAACTCTCTGCTCCCAGAGTGGGTGCAATCTGTGGGTATCAGTGATTATTGAAAATGTGTCAGGTTACACTTTTGGAAATGGCAATGGCGTTGGTGTCGTCAGTTAGTCATCCTCTAGTGAACGATGGTCATGTATGGGTGTGGTTGAGTGATGGCATGTGAATGTTCCACATAGCGCGCGAGGCTGGGGAGGCTCTGATTTCGGGGCTAAATTGACACAATGTTTCGGTCTAGCGGGCAAGCTTGGACGGGTAAATTTAATATGAGGCCCAAACAATGTTACACGTTTATGTCACACAGCAATGAAGGCATCACCAAACGAGTACGACGCCCGGATTTAACCGGGATAGTCACTTGATGGGTGCTTTCGTACACTCATTGGATCTGCATACCGAGATTTTGGTCGGTTTCGTGCAATAATTCCGTGCACACCCGGGCCACACATACTCCGTGAGAGATGAGATTCTGAGCATTCAGGTGCTTTTGTTAGTTCTTCGCCTTCCGCCAACCTCTTGTTCGCCTTCGCAAAACAGCTGCGAGCAGTTAGAAACCGTGAACGGTTTTTACCTGAAGGCTGATATCATACAGCGTTCTCTAATGGGTCAATGTTGATGATGATGACTCAAACACACAATGACTTCCTCCGCGAGTCAGTGTTTATGACGCACACGTTTTATTCCCCTGTGTGTGGGCCACGATCATTGAGTCCACATCGGTATCCCCTGCTCGCCCTCTTCTCCTCCTTCGAAAAGGGCGACGCAGGCGCGTCTTTTCAGCCGTATTGCCGAAGCTCGACTGTAGAAAAAAAGAACATGTAATTGTGTTGGAATGAGCAACAAGCTGTCTGTTTGTCTGCTGCTGATGGTCTTGGTGGTGTATGTGTGTGTGTATGTGTGTGTGTGTGTTGGATGAGCGTTGGTCGTTTGGAAACGACGACAACGATGAGCCGCTGCTCCTCCTCAGAGAGCACAAAGGACAACCTCCCTTTCTGCCCCTCAGCCCCCTATACACCACATACGCACACATCCAGAAATTAGCGCCAAACGGTCTCCGGAATCGATAGCGACGCTTCCGCCGCTGAAATAATAGACTTCGTCATTAGCAACAATTGAGACGTCGTGCAGGCGATTCCAGTGTCACCGCCGCCGCTGCTGGCAAGCCGTGCGCTTCGTCTTCTCTCTCGTTGGCCCCGGTCGTCTCGTCGACGTCCGTCGGTCGGTCGGCTTGCTTGCGAGGGGGTGAAGAGAATGTGCCCGAGGACTACTGTAGCTATTTGAAGGCAATGAGTCAACTAGCACCGATAGAATGCCTCTTTCAGTCTCAGTGTCATGCACGAAGAAGAAGGAAGGGTCATGTGCATGAATTTTTCGGCATCACCATCAGCCTGCCGCCAGTCAGCCCAGGACAACCGCCGCCCACATTCAACACACACACACACACACACACACCACGCACATAACATTCGACGGAAAAAGCAGAATGGCAGCAAAGCGCAGAACAGTCACTTCACATGGCGGCGTTTGGTTCAGGGGACTTAAAAATAGAGGGGGGACAGAGAGTCGATGATGATGATGATGATGAGAGCAAGGTCGCAGAGACACAGACAGAAACGAAGAGATTTGCGGGTCGATGAAAAGGCGAGAGATGATTTTTGTGAGCGGAAAAATAATGAGCTCGACTCGATTTTCGTGCTGGAACGTTTTGACAAATAGCACTGTGCTCGATTTATGGCAGGCTCTAAATCAGTGAAAAACGTGCATCGTTCGAAAGAGCTAAGAAGCAAAACGAAAGGGCCGTGCGAGGCACCCCCGACCACCAAACCTCCAACTCCACACGCAGCTAATTTCCAAGCGACAGGAAGTACCATGGGGATCAGGCGGACTATAGGACGGATTCCAACATAGGGATATCCCAACAAATCCGTCATCGCCTTTTGTTCGGGTCATATCAACCAATTGCCACTACACGGCCGACACTGCCGGCGTATTCGTTTGATCCAGAACCATCTGTGTCCCCATAGCCCATCCCGTTTCCCCCCGAATTCCCTATATCTCTCCCCCCGTCCTTCACTCACAATAGCATAATCATCATCATCACTAATGCGTATTGATAGGGGCATATCTTATGGATTTTGGGGGGACTGAAATACGGGCAACGGAATTTGTCACCGGAACGACCACGATGAATGTCAGTAAAAGGAACGAAACAGCAAAGAACAACTGTAGAACTGGTTACAGTTATGTATGTCTACGAACAGGTGAAATCGTGGTCACCCGCAGTTTCTGAACGGGACAATGGTGGGACACCTACACACATCCACATAGGTAATAGTGGTAGTATAGCTGAGTATACTTGTGGAGGATCAATAGCGAGACCGGAGTTCTTGCGAGGTAATGTCTTACGGCGCCGCAGTTTGCCATGATTTGTGGTTCCGACGACGCGGTAACCAAGCGTTGACGACCAAGCCGACGCCACATGTTGACGGCTAAGTCCCGTTTGCCCGTTTCGTAGCCCTTTAGAAGTGTGGTCAGTACCGTCGTCGTCGTCGCCGTCGTCTTGTCGCCGTTGTCATTGTCATTGTCGTCGTGGCTCTATGCACTCTTTGGGTGTTTAGTGATCGATGACCGTCAAGAGGGCGATTCCTTTGAACAATCTGTCACTTGCAACATACATACATACATTCACATGTATGAATATATGAGCCTTTATCAATCACTCTAATGCTTTATTCGTATCGGGTGATTTGTTCGCGGCTGTTAGGCACATACATCGCGTATACGACGACCATTTACATCAACTAGAACAAATTATCATCCATCTACCCCCTTTGGTGTGCATTCGTTCACGTATGGAAACGGCCCTTCCAGAAACTACCCCCAAAAAGCCACTTCCAGACTGGGTTCCTCTGTCCGGGTCGCTCTCTGATCTTCAAAGTTCAATCCGTGGAAACTCGTCCATTTCCATTTCAAGTCTCCTATCCTGTTGTTAGGTTAATCGCCCGACCGATAGGTTAATCGGTAGGCTCTTCCTGACCCTGCTATCCCGAAATAAACCCATGGGCCAAGGTGTCGAAACGATTTGAGGGCAATTTTTCATCGAGTATGGATGGAAACTTGGGTGATAAACTGGGAAGCTAAGCTGGTATTAAGCAACACGCCGACGTCTAAAATTTTAATGAGCTACAGTAGTTCGAGTGCCGGCCCGAAAGAGGCCGGAAATGGATACTGTAAAAGCAGTTTAAATTTAATATATAGATTGTATTAGACACTCCTCTTTGGAAAACTTTTACTTTGTATAATTTCAAGAGGGTTGTTCAAATGCATGCCAAAACTCGGACAGATGGCTCAGTACGTCCCAATTGTCTGTTGTGCTATTGACTCCTATTATTACTTGTAAGTAATGAGCGCCATGGTTATTGATATGGCTTATTTCCTAGGAATTGGATTGCGAACGTTGTAGCAGCCAACAGAGCAGCCATAGACGTATAGGAAAAGACCAATTCAATCCCATTACCAACGTTTTAATGGGCGAAGGTCATTATGGCTCTTCAGATGTGCGATTGGCACCCACAAAAAAAAANAAAAAAAAATGACGAAACGCTCATAGCACCGGTTAAATGCGAGCCGCCCGGAGAACATACGTTTTGCAGCGTTCCGCTCATTCGCTGACGCCCTTCGCAGCGGCGTGGCGTCCACAAGGAGCACACGATCCTGTTGAACTCCTCCTCCTCTGCACATCATCTACTTGAGTGGAATGGAATTCTCCGCGAAACGGATCGGAAATCGGATGTGCTTTTGTTGTTGTGTGGGGGACGGATGTCGTGCAGAACGCCAGCCGGGGCCGGGTAACATCAGCAGCAGCGGCAGCGGCGATGTTGCAATTAAACTGGGAGCGTAATCATCTCTTCCTGAGGGAATAGTTTATGTCCGGTAATTCGGTTAGCCATAATCAGGCGTCCTCTCGTTATTCCGGGGCAATGCGAACGCGAGGCCCGGACGTTGCCGACATGGATAGTCTGTACGTATATGTGTACATGATGATGGAGCCATCTGCCGTTATTTATCGGGGCGGGGCAAGCGTGTCCAACTCGATCGGTCAGGATGGTGTATGTGTCCTCATCGGCCTTCACCCATCTCCTCTCCCTCTAATTCCGCTATTGTTTCGATCCGAGTTAACCAGATCATGGCCAACCAATTCCATCGGCGCCATCAGATGAACGAGTACCGCCGCCGTTTGGACGCTCGATGAGGCTCATCACATTGCAATATATATATACCAGAGCAATGCATTAGCGCGCAACCAGTTACCCATCTTTATGACCAGATGTTAGAAAATTTTCGCCCCGTTGATGACAAGACGACAACGAGATGGTCGGCAGTCGGCCGGCCGACGCACATTTCCATTGAGGCAATCAGATGCCGGCTCGAGGGAGGTGGAGTTGAGACCCCGAGACCGAAGGAGGCGCTGGCTGGGCGAAAAGAATTCCGGGCGTTTTTTGCAAACCTGAAGGAACCTCGTCTTAGTGGCTGCGGTCGTGGTTTAATTAACTACTGCAACGGGCAGGGCAACGCTGTCAACGTCGTCGTCGTCCTCGGTTGGAAATGCCGGCATGATTACTGTTATGAGCGATGGGTTGACGGCAAGGAACACCTGAACAAAGACTGGCTATTTGTTCATACAGTTGACAACGAGCACACTGAGACCATCATGTGAAAGCTAACACGGTCCCGTGTACGAATTGAATGAGACCCCCGAATGAAAACCCCCTAATCAGTTCAATGCATTCGGGAAGGGAAGGGGCAGAGGCAAAACGTTGCATTTGTGGACAACGAACCGACCACAGAACTACGATAGATACACAAAGACTACACGAGAATTGATGACTTTATTAGAATGAAGTAGAACGCATCCAGTAGGATGCGCCATGCTCGTCAATCATATTAGAAATTCCGAAGTCGCTTGGACATACACGATATTTCCACAGATATTCACACGTAAACACATTTACCGTAAACATACCGATTACCGGTTGGCCTGAGAAAACAAATGGAGTCGATGAATGTGAATCGTACCTCGACCACGGGATCAGGGCACAATGGGATCTTTTCGTTCATCTGTAAGCGCTCTTTTCCCAAATGCACCGGTCCCTTTCCCCATTGTCCCATTTTTCGATAGTGACTTTCCTACACGAATCATTTCGAATATGGTAACGAAGGAGAAAGTGAAAAACGGTTGTGTGGAGAAGTGAGGCTCAATAGATGAGGTGGCACAATCTCCCACTCCCATGTCTAAACGAGGGCTCAGTGTAGTGGGCACCTTCTCATCTAGGGATTTTTCAAGGACAGAATTTTTCAATACCTAAGTAGATTTGCGTGGATTGTCAAGATACCGTGTGATACCAAATGGTCAACGGTCAGGCCTCGTAGAAAGCTCTGAAGAAGTTCCCGAACCCGACGAGTAATTCTCTTGGCAGTCTCAGACGACCCTTTGATTATTCCTTTGTATCGAAGAATACAAAAAAAGGTTCCACGTCACCTACGAGACACCAATCCTGCCACTAACCTAGAAATTACATTGTTTTTCCGGTTTTGATAGCGATTCTCTTGAGAGAAGGGAGGTTTTTCGAAGATGAAAAAACTTTCCGCGAACTGGTTTAGTTGTGCACACAATTCAAAAGTAAATTACAAAACCGATAGTGAAAATAGGTGGATGTTACTTGTACATCATGATGACAGTTATTCGTTGTACAGTACGAGAACTTGTGTTACCCCACCACCACCACCACCAAGTTTTTGTTGGTTCCCGCGATCGACCAAAATGCGCCAGTCATCCAATGGAACGTGAAAGTCGCATTGTCTTCAAATCGCATTATTCATATGACGCGAGCACACGCGCTTGCGCGCGCGCGACAGCGAATAAAACTATAGTCGATTAGTCATCGATATGCGTCATCTATACAGCATAATGGATAGACAGTCGAGTGCGTCGTTCTAGAAGTTTCACGGGGAAACCACGCCTTTCGTAAAACAGTGAAATGCTCGGCAGACTCATTACATTTGAAAGTTTTGTTCGTTCTTTTCGAAATGCCACATGGCCTATTCATTTAGTTCCTTCGGCGCGGCCCTGTAGCGGTTGGACTTTTTGTCCTGAAAAGTCAGTAGCCAAGCATGGTGGGCCGAAAACGTGAAGTGCTGATTTGTCAACCCGGAATGCGCCACGTCCAGGGTATCGAACCGCTTGATGAATGGACAGGAAACGTTGCGCAACCAGTTAGTATACATGTCAGCGTTCTGGTTGCCCGGCCAAACTGGCACCTGCAATTAGCGGGGGAACTCTGACAAAGGGCAACGCCTATTCAGTGCTCCGCAGAAATTGAACTAACGGGATGCTGTGAACAGCCATACCGTTAACTACTGAACCGCCACAGTTTTATTAGAGAAAGAGAGGAAATTCCTATAGACAGGTCTGGACAAGAGTTCTCGAAAAATCGCCGGGCGAAACCGAAAATCTTTCGAGGAAATCTTAGCGTTTTCCCATATGAAGGAGATGGGCAAGATTCAATAACTTAATATCTGAAGGGAGGCTCCAGCATTGACGTCTCTTCAGACTTTTGGAAAGCATGTCTGGGAGCTCTAGGAATCACCTAGACGAACACGACACAGAATGGAATTCACGGCTCTACAAAGCGACTTCATGGATTTACTTCGAAAAGCTGACCCTGGTTAGATTAGTAAGCTTGACCTAAAAGCCCACTTGTGAAGCCCACGAAGGAGCCCATAGGACCTATGCGGGATACCCAGGGATATTATGCAGTCTTCTGTGAACGTATGATATTTTATATTGATCTGGAAAAGTATATAAGTAAATAAGCTCGACAGTAATCATTATGAAATAAAATAAATCATTCACATAAATGAGCAAAATTGCTGAACGCGCATATTTGGTCGAGTTGATACCTAAAAGTGCCGGTTACTTTAAAATTACTTAGTCGAACCTTTAAAAGAGATAAAATATTGTAACTGGGCAAAATTGAAGGGGCGGTTCTTCATGACGTCATTCAAAATTGGCTTTGTCCAGGCCATTTTTCGTTTGAACTAGGAGTAATCCGGATGAAAGGACATCGATCTGCTATTGCTATAACAGTGTTAGGGAACTTTCTGAGAATCGTCTAGAAAACCAAGAAGCACAGTGGAGTGCATTGCTCAACAAAGTGACTGTATTTGAAAGACATGGGCAATGCTCAAGCCACCCTTTTATTTGTAAAAGGACAAGAGCATCGATTAACTGTTGCCATAACGAATTCAAGGGAAGCTGGATCACGGGTGACCATAAATAATCGGATGCTTTTCAGATTAAAATACGGTCGGTCGGCGACGGTTGTGAGGGCTGGTTTTAGAAATTCATCGATATTCCATGTAAATGCAAGTCGTTCAGGCCATATGGGCCAGTTTTTTCAGCTCTCAGAGGCTTTCACTTTCATCCTTTCAAAGCCATAGCAATAAAGCAACATGACGCAACATTCGGAACGACGATTCTGGCCAGTTCAACGACAACGATGAACCAACCCCACGAAAGCATCACGCCGGGGGATAAGCAGCTAATTGTGGTGGTTTGTAAAGAATCTGAAAGAGACGGGGAAAAGGAAGGGGGATGGGAAAGGAGGGGAGGGAAAGGGTGATCTAGCATGATGTTGAAACAGAACTTGAAGATGTTTTCAAAATGTTCGTGTCGGAAGACGTTTAACGGCTTGGGACTTGTCGGCGAAAAACATAGGGAGTTGATTAACGACGAAGGGACTCTCGCCCTAGTACTTCGGGGCTGTTGGGCAAACGAATGACGAACTTGGTGGCCATGTTCACGATCAATTTCCTATTATGGTGGTCCCGTAGATAGGATTGAATAATGAAGGATGATGTACTGAGCGAAACAACACGGGAAGAACTCCCCGATGTTAGTCGAGTCCGTGCACAAACAGTCAGTCCGTCAGTCGGGGGGTACGGAGTGAGGGTTATTATCAAATGATTAAGTTGTTGACAGATGTAACCTTCTGAACACCCCCAGCCCAGAACATACCAACTCCATGCCGATATGTTTTCCTTACTTGGTTATGCATAGAATTCGGGTCTTAACGAACCCCTTAACCGAGCTGTTACCTCGTTTGGATAGCCCTCCTTACGGGGCATTGCCCAAATATAGGAAACAGGGAAATCAAGGGAAAAGCCAAATCAATCGATAGAAAAGTGTCATGGAAGAAGAGCAATAAAAACGATGCACAAGCACAAAGATATGATGTTTGAGTCATAAAACAAACATATGAGAGGGACGAATCAGATGAATGTGCAGAGACACAGAGAATGGGAGAGAGAAAAGAAGAAAAGAAAGGGAAGGATGAAGTCCCCATGAGTGGGCGCGACGAATAGCGCAAGGGCTGAGGAGCACCTCTTCAAAATCCGTCGCGCGCTGATTGTTCTCCATAAGCTACCGTAATCCCCAACGTAATTGGTGCGATAAGCGGGGATGTGATGAGTTCAGGTTTTTGTTAAGTAAATTATCTAAATACAGAATGGAAACTGGTAAAAATACAAGTTCTTGGCAGTAAATGATATTATTATAAGAGTACTGGTAAATGTAGTGGGCAATCGCTAAAGTTCAGACAACATCTGACCAAATCCTGCCATTTCGTTGAAGTGATGTGCATGTTGGAGTCGTTCTAGGGTACACTAGTCATGTTAGAGTCGATTTATAATTTCCAAGACAACTTCCCTTTTCCCTGCCTAAGAAAAACAGATTTAAAATCAAATTTTTCTCAAAACTTGATTTATTCGAGGGTGAAGAAGTTACGGTCTAATAGATGTTTTGTAAGCAAAAGCTCGTGTTTTTTCTTTCTTAATTTGGAATATTGGAAAGCGAAATGGCATAATAGGGCCGTATTCGTCAAGCCTGAGCCTCGAATTGCTTCAACTCGCTGTGTCGAATAGCATGAAATACAAGTGCACGTGCCTTCAATGGTTGTGATTGGATGATTGCGTAAGAGGACCAATCACAGGCTGAGAACCGGATATTCAAGAGGTCGGTCTCCAGTAAATATCATTATTCACATTCAAGTTATCCAGGATTTCCGAGCAAACACTTATTGTCAAAGTGATTTCAAAATTTACGTCCAAAATGTTCAGCTTGGAAGTATATTCAGCTTCATATTTCTTAAATACAGGAATTTTTGAATTAGCTAAATTGAATACAACCTTTGCGTCTTGCTACTTGAATACTTGTTGAAGAAAAGAAAACAGAAAAGAAGCATATGTAGGTACTCTTCGTACTCGCAAAAACGGAGCAATCTGACGATTATTTCACGATTACTGAAAATGGGAAATTTACAGAACTAGTATGTTATACTCATAAGACTTTCAAAGTTGGACAACTCTATATGGACACTTTTATACGTTTATATTTGAATTCTTACTCTTATTCATCCAATTTCATCTTTATCATGGAGACTGATGTTTTCTTAATTAAGCACACCTTACATCAGTGTATGAAACAAATAAATAAATATACAAAGCTCAACTAACTAAGTGCCCTTTGGTTCCTGCCTATTCGTATAACGTATAATGTTTGCTGGCAGTGCTCTCATCCCCACCTCCTTGAATGTGTTTGAATCTGGGAAGCACTACAACCATTTCTAGCAGTAACTTTGCAGTAAATATACAAAATTG